TTGCCTCCAGCTGAGCAAAACATCAGAAAGTGTACAGGAAGGGTTACATTCAAAAGTGAAAGCCCACCGACTGGGAGCGCAAGTCATCCAATGGCACTTGTGTGGTTTGTAACGCAAGGACTCTTCTTTCGAGCTCGGACATTGGAGATGTAAAGCTTTTGGGCAGCTTGAACACAGGGGAAGAGATCAATTTTCCAGAGTCCCTGATTGTCGAATTGCCTGGTGCCCTGCGGCCCACGCCGTCTGTGCTGCATGAGCTTGGACAACTGATATAGAACGACAACCCACCTAGAAAACACGCTTTTTTCCTCAGCGGACTCAAAAGACGGCGTAGGAGACGGCGCAAGGGCTACGCCTGGTGTAAGTTCCGTGAATGACGTCCCCATTTTACCGATTGGACATGAGCAAGGCTAAAATCGAGTAGACCGAGGGGAAGGATAGTCTTTTGCATGACGTAGGTCGCACAAATCCAACACTACTTTAGACGAATATCGAGCGCGCGCTCAATATTTCAAAGATCGCAAGGGCAGCTTGTGCAGTAGAAATTGACCAGTGACTGTCCTCCTCATACTTACAAGCGGCAGAACGCGAAAAAGTCTAGAGGTCACGTGACTTAATACGGCTCGATTGTATGTGGCTTTGTTGACTCGGATAATTGTGTCTTTCACCAATGATATGATCGGATTATTCGGTTTAATAACGGCGGCCAGTCCTTGACTCTTTACAAGGATGAACAACTATGTGCTAGAGCAGCCTGAGCCTCTATTATAGGCACGCCCTCGATAACAATCAGAAAAAGTATTTCTAGGAATGGTGGACAACCATTTGAAGACTCCGATGTTCTCGTGCTTTCCTCCCGGTCCACAAGTGACACGCATTCCAAAGATTCCACCCAACTGTACCTCGACTTACGTCTCTCAAAGCCTTTACTACCGGATAGCACCATTATGTGGGGCTTTGCTGGAATCCGTGTTACACTTTCATCCACTCCTCTGCGTTTCCGATGGAATCATTATATTGATTCCCAAGGACGAAATGGTCCTCCTGATGAAGGCACTATGACCTCATGTGATGGGGAAGAAGTAGAAACTGGAATCGGGGTAAACCCCCAGACAGGAGAACAGGAGCAGTATGAAGAACGCTGGATGTGAGCCCATAATCATTCCCCTGGATAGTTAGTTTCATCATTTCTGGGTGATAGTGATCAACCTGTCACACCAGCCACACCGTTCGCATTCCTCACTTCCTCTCGCGAACCAAGCGAATCGACTGGGTTTATTGCTATTCTGGGAGATCATGCGCTTGCAATGCGCCAGAACCATTCTCCGAATGACACTGAATTTCAAGCAGTGCGCATGCGCGTCCCGACTTCATCGTCGTCCGAAGTTCTGTTCAAGCAGAATGCAGATACCCTCATTCCACTATTAGAATCTGCGCTCTCTGAGGTTGATAATTGGAGAGGATCCCCTTGGCAACGAGGCCAAGAAATTGCTTTACAAGAAGACCGCTGGACTGTGTGGGATGCTGGTATGACAGGGGGGGAATAACTGCTTAATTTAAATCAGCTGCGATGCATTTATAACCTATGTTAACCGCGCTGCTTAGCGCCTCTTAGCGCTTGATCTCTACTCGCCAAATATGAGGCAGTTGGGAATATGTCAAATGCAGGACACTACTTTTCAATACGGATGTGGTTAGGTGACATCAGGAGAGTGACTGCGCTTTAGTGCCGTCATTTGGTGCGTCACGGCCGAGGCCTGTTTCTACATAGTCCCATACCGACTCCAGGGCGCACAAAACTTAGTCTAATTTGCACCGATTGCAGTTGCCAGAAACATAGTATTATTTTAGTCCGTGCGTGGACTTGAAGCTTAAAGTGTTGCTGAATCCAAACACCCGAGCATGATCTTGACCTAAGATGGGTTCCAATTCTAAACATGCAACCTGTGACTTAACAGCCTACATGACCCTAGCGATTGAAGTGAGGAGTGAATGGGGATGTTGTGAGAAATGCATATGCTACTGTCGGCTAGCCTCCGTTAGACTGTCACCACGAGTTACAGCGAGTCAGGCTTGCTCCAAGACTCTGTGCACGTTCGACACTGCCTCTAGATATCTGACGGCAATGTTTTGATGAGCCGAATTCAGATAGTCAGGGGTCGAGTATTACTTGATCGATGGGTGAGCTTCGATTGATCAGGCAACTCGGAGGGTGATGATTCCGTTTGTCCGCGCCAGGTCCGCGCCGAGAACCTCACCAATAAACAAACACACCTGATACCCAGTGAGGCCTGATACTCCGGAGTCTGCATGTGCTTCGAATCAAAAGTTGCCTAGAAGCATCGGTAAGGAAAGGAAAGCGAGAACGAGAACGAACAAGATTGCGAAGGAGGCTGGGCAGCGGGCTAATTGAATGATCATGGTGCGATGCCGATGGTACGATGCTAGCTGAGAAATACAAGCCGAACGATGTCCGATAAATCAATTTGATTATGTAACAATGAGAGGCAACTTGACCAACAACTCGCGTTTCTAAAATTTGCTGTCCTTAGCTTACAGATAGCTTGTAGGGGTGCAGAGAGAGAGACGGACATACTTACTAACATACCTCCAGTGCGAGCAGTGTTGGTGCTTAGCAATTGCGAGAAACGTTTATTTTGGGGGGTTTGCCAAGTTGACGTTATCGTATCAGTACTGATTAGATTAACCCACCCAAATATATTGATTCTAGTATAAAAGGTTCATCTCGCCCGTATTTCTCCACCTCATCCCATCACCACTATAATTTCTCAGCCAACATGGTAAGCACATAATCGTCCAACAGGCATATGTTTGGTTGCTCATAACATCCATCGTGTAGGTCAAAGTCGGTATCAATGGGTATGTTATCATCGTCAGTCGAGGCGTTTGTCGTTAATCGGATGTTGTCTCCTTCGTCGCTGTATAGTTTCGGTGAGTATATGCTCTTGATCCTTGAATATTTCTGACACAATATCTTACGTTCAGGTCGTATTGGCCGTATCGTCATGCGTAATGCCCTCGAGAACCAGGACATCGAGGTCGTTGCCATCAATGAGTGGGTTCACCTCCTATTTTCCAAAGATTCATCTGATTCTCGTTTTCAGTCCCTTCATTGAGTTGGAGTACATGGTCAGTAGATGAACATATCATCCTGTACCGAATTCGATCTGATCGGTGGGAAATGTAGGTTTACATGTTCAAGTACGACACCGTCCACGGCCGCTTTAAGGGCGATGTCCACACTGCAGATGGAAAGCTATACATCAACAACAAGCCCATTCACGTTTTCGGTGAGCGGGATCCCAGCAACATCAAGTGGGGTTCGGTCGGCGCCCATTACGTCGTCGAGTCCACTGTAAGTTCCCGACTATTGCACCCTCTTCAAGTTGAAAGCTGATTGGAACGACGTGAATAGGGTGTCTTCACTACAATTGAAAAGTGAGGATTTTCTATTATTAATCGAGTGCTTTCTAATAAGATTACTCCCAGGGCCTCTGCTCATCTGAAGGGTGGTGCAAAGAAGGTCATCATCTCCGCCCCTTCAGCTGACGCACCCATGTTTGTGTGCGGTGTCAACCTCGACACTTATGACTCCAAGCACACCGTTATCTCTAACGCTTCTTGCACGACCAACTGCCTTGCTCCCCTCGCTAAGGTGATCGATGACAACTTTGGCATCGAGGAGGGTCTCATGTCAACCATCCACGCGACGACAGCTACTCAAAAGACTGTTGACGGTCCTTCCAACAAGGACTGGCGCGGTGGCCGTGCTGTTAACAACAACATTATCCCGTCCTCCACGGGTGCCGCTAAGGCGGTCGGCAAGGTCATTCCTTCCCTAAACGGCAAGCTCACGTATGTGATATCGAACTTTTCCCATAACTCTGAGATGCTAAGTACGTCCTTATAGTGGTCTTTCTTTCCGTGTTCCCACTTTGGATGTCTCCGTCGTCGACCTTGTCGTGCGCCTCAAGAAGCCCGCCACATACGATGACATCAAGAAGGCAATGAAGGCCGCTTCTGAGGGCCCTCTCAAAGGCGTCATCGCCTACACCGATGAACAGGTCGTCTCGACGGACTTCCTCGGTCACCCTGCATCGAGCATCTTCGATGCCAATGCTGGTATCATGCTCAACTCGCAGTTCGTGAAGTTGATCTCATGGTACGACAACGAGTGGGGCTACTCGAGGCGTGTGTGTGACTTGCTTGTGTACGCTGCCAAGAAGGATGCAGGTAACTAAAGGAAAAAGCTGTGAATGTTCAGAATCATACCGTAGTCTGAGGTCTTACCATACGAAACAATTGTTGTATTTCTTTACGGACATAGTGACGCTTCTATAGATCCGCTTATCTCTCCAACGTCATCATGTCTGAGTGAGTTTAATTATAACAGGCGTGCACACGTGCACGATTGTCTGGGCGAACTTGCGCTCGAGAGTACTAGTGGAGAGCTACTATAGTACGGAAACTTCGGGAAGCACTAAAGCATCTTTTGTCATGCCTCCCTGAACAAAAGGGTAGGGATTGCAAGGCAGAAACGAAGGACTTTTTCTGGTTTTTGAAGGTGGTGTGGGAAAAGTGCTTCTGGTACCGTAGTGGACGACTTCCCGCAGCAATTCAGATCGCTGTTCTAGTTCTAAACGTTTCATGCAGACGTGCGGCCCATAATCGTTCCAGTGACGAGAGGTGAGGTAAAAGGGTAGTAAAAGTGGGTAGACTTTGGGTGTTAAAAAAGATGTGACGATGACTACCCAGCGCGCGAAGCTCGAAGTCAGCGGCACAAGAGAAGAATGCTCTCGGGAAATAACAGGGTAAAAGTCTGATATTTGGGGGTCCAGAAAACTTTAACGTAGCACTACTACTGAGTGCCGTATTTAAGCAATCAGCGTAGTAGCCTTTTCGGGGAGACACAGAAACGTCAAAGGTAACAGTAAGGAATGGGTAGTAAGGAGCTCAGCTGCTCGGCCGATGGCGACATCGAGCAACTGTAGAAACAACGAACAAATGGGTGTAGTTAGGAGTTTGACAGGAATAAGATGAGATAAGCGAAATAAACATGGAACAAGGAAGTCATTCTGTAGCACTGTGAGTGACTGGAGATGATGTAGACTTTGTGGCTGTTATTTGCTGTGACTGGCGGCATTGTGGTGTCTGTGGCTGGCTGTCACAAAAACGCTGTGTTCGTACTTTCTGTGGAGAAATTTGTAGTTTACTGATGCCATCTCCCTGTCTAGTAGGCCAGCATGACATGTTAGCAAGTGTGCTTGATGGAGCAAGAACAGCATATCTGGCTGTGAGAGGGTTCGCGACACCGGAGCAGATAATACAACTGACGCCGATGCGGACGATGCCAGGGCACACGAGGATGGTGTCAGCAGTCGCGTTCTTCAAAGACAGTCGACAGATTGTCACTGGTTCGGACCACATTGCGGGCATCTGAAGGCCATTCGGGGGACACCGGGGGTCGTGAGGCCACGTGTCCAGTCGCTGTATCACCAGATGAATCATGACATGCATGACAGGCGAGTTGCGAGCAGTACTTGTGGCTGATGACATCATGATCTGGGACGTCGACGAATAGAAAGTACTCGCGAGGTCCGCTACGGGCACTGATGGAAGGAGCGAAATGAGATTCACGCTGTAGCAACGTGGTATGTACTACTATGGGCCAAGGATATATAAAGACCCTGCATGAATTGGGCTATGGGCAGCAATCCAGAAATCCAGCCCTATTCACGATTGACGACGGCAGCACAGAACTTCAAATGTCACTGACCGTCCATCTTCCTGTCTAGCGACATGTCAGGATTGCTCAATGTAGCAAAAAAATCATATCTTACTGTGAGAAGGCGTGCGACGCCGACAGGCCCGACACACACGATGCGAGTGCACAAGGGGAAAGTGTCGGCAGTCGCGTTCTTCAAAGATGATCGACGGATCGTCACCGCTTCATTTAGAACACTGCGAATCTGGGACGTGAAGAAAAGAGCATCGGTGGGAACGCCATTCGGGGGACATGGCAGTCAGTGGTCACTGTGTGTATTCAGTCGCTGTCACAGCGCCTGAATTCACACAGTGACTAGACGATAAACAAATTGCGAGTGGTGGAAGAGATGGAGCCATCATCATATGGGACGTCGATAGCAAGCTCAAACCGCTGGTGAAGCATACATTCTCCCCCGATGGAAATCGGGGTCCGTTTTGTGTCGCCTTCAGCCCAGATGGGCTGAAATTCAGGTTCCTTCCCATCCGCGGTGTCGAGAGAAGAGGGCTGCATCCGAGTACATAGAAAAAATAAAATAAAATCACGTGCACTTTGAAATGTCCAAAAGCAGCCCAAACCTTATCCCTCGTTCTCTCTCCACAGCGGCTGGCAGAAAACATTTGTAAACAATGTTCAGCCACCGTAGCAAACCCTTCGGACCTTGAAAATTAACTGGCAACTTCGAAAACTGAACTTAGGGTTTAAATATTTAATCTATACTCCATATGGAAACATACTGCAGCGTCCTCGATATGTTTGATGGAGACAGAAGTCTTTCACAATTCCTCGTCACGATCCTCACAGTACCTCAATTTGCCAACCACCCTGCAGTTGTTGACCTTCTGGCCAACATAGGTAACATTATCTGCACCTTATCGCGACACCAGAATCTATATAACCCTTTAATTGGGTGGGCCAAGGATGCCATTAGCGCAGAATGTGCAAGGGAGGTTCAAGAGCTCACAAAAGTGGAGAACGGGTTGCATTTTAGCGCTGTGCATGCGAAAGCTGAGCAAATAGAGGGCTTCCAAATTGATGATATGGCTCTACAGATCGCGGGAGAGGCACCAGTGCTATGGGCCCTGCTTGATTCCCTCTTGTCCGCGAGAGCTCTTCAAGTCTCGAAAATCGAAAGCAAAGGGCACACGGAGATCGGAATTTTGGTATCAGATGCGCAAGAAGCTGAGGACTCAGAATACTGGGCTCAAGTAGATGACCTAGAAGGTGTTATAGAAGGCATCACTGGTGATTGTATATCGAGAGCTGAACGCCTCACATCTCAACGTAGTGCGACAATGATGCTGGTATGGAAAATATAGATAAAATTTGTGCTTGATCTAAACAAACCTCATCCAGCAGAAAGTAGTAATTGTTTCACTTCTAAAGAAAAGCACAAATCAGAAAGCCAACTCGCTGTCAAGCATACTCGGAATATTTTTGCATTCAACACATGCACCGGAGAAAGTCATCGAAACGATGGTGAAGATGGGTCTCTCGATATCCGTCGATGCAATTCACGATACAGTCTGTTCACTATCTGCAGAATCAAGTCATGCGCTGCAATATCTTGGACAAACACTTCTAGCGGTGTATGCATACAATAATTTTGATGCAAATAATATCACGATCTCGGAGCAGAAAAGCTTCAGCAACTCTGAGCTGCCAAAGGCAAGCCCTGCGTCCAAATACCTCCTCTGTCCGCGCACGAATCAAAGCAAGAGAAGGCGCCATGGATCAATTATCGACGTCACCGAGTCTGGAATATGGTAATGTTACATAATCTAAAATATTTAAACCCTAAGTTCAGTTTTCGAAGTTGCCAGTTAATTTTCAAGGTCCGAAGGGTTTGCTACGGTGGCTGAACATTGTTTACAAATGTTCTCTGCCAGCCGCTGTGGAGAGAGAACGAGGGATTAAGGTTTGGGCTGCTTTTGGACATTTCAAAGTGCACGTGATTTTATTTTATTTTTTCTATGTACTCGGATGCAGCCCTCTTCTCTCGACACCGCGGATGGGAAGGAACCTGGCTGAAATTGGCATCCAGCAGATATTGTACCATTCGGGTTTGGAGCACCGATAACGCCGAGCTTCTATTCGACATCAACGCTCACGACTTCGATTGGGTTCAAAGCGTCGTGTGGTCGCCCGACGGCCAGCAACTTGTCTCCGCATCATCGGACAAAACAATCAAGTTTTGGGACTCGTCGAATGGGACCCAGATTGGCCAACCTTGCACTGGTCACACTTCTTACATCAACTCACTTGCCATTTCTTCTGATAGCTCCTTCATTGCAACCGCCTCGGACGACAATATTAATACTGTGCGCCTGTGGAACACAAAGTCACACAAGCAGATAGGACAACCACTCAGACACACCGCACATGTTTGCTGCGTCACAATTTCTCTCAGCGGAGAACTGCTCGTGAGTGGAGACTTGGATGGGAATCTTCACCTCTGGTCCATCGAGAACACACTTTCTACACCATTCGGGATGGATCCCTCGTACTTTGCGCATCGCAGTAAGGTGAAGTTGGGCCAAAAGCTCTATGCGGAGGGCCTTTCGGACGTGGACAAGGTGCAGACAATATCCGTCGTTTTAAACATTTGTAATGAGTTTCGGTAGGCCATTGAGCTCAGTCCTTCGTGGTTATATCGGGTACGAACTGAAGCATGCAGCGCTTCGTGGAGCACAGCGCCATGATGATGCATTCGAGGCCTTCACAATCATGCTCTCCAAGCACCCGACCCACAGATACGACGTGAGTCCTAAACAACTCAAGCGCCGACTTGCAGATGACTTATATTTTTGCAGGGCTTACGCCAGCAATGTTTATCTGAAGTACAAGATGCTATTCGACGAGCCATTCACGCCCAACTGGGAAAACGCTCCACTTCGCCTAATTAACACCTCTACTGGACGTTTGTGCAATCGAGATGCGCAGATAAACGCATTCACGGAGAGTACAGAGTACAAAGAGCTTTTGTATTCATTGATGATGCATAGGCCCCTCCAAACGGAGCTCATCAAAGAAGCGGTCATAAAGTGCTTCAGTTGGGTCATGTTATCCCATAGGTGGGAAGCAAGGAGCCGCTACTGCATGACATTCAGGGCAGGGACATCTACGACTTGGATCGGGTCGAAATCATTGTGAAGTTGCAGAAGTTCTGCAAAGTCGCTCGCGACGCGGGGTATCGCTGGGCGTGGAGCGATACATGCTGCATCGACCAGTATAACAACGTCGAGCTACAAGAATCAGTCAACTCCATGTTCGTCTGGTATCACTACTCAGCGCTCACCATCGTCTATCTATTGGATGTTCCTCCTTCGTCAGAATCTGGTGCGCTCGCAAACAGCATTTGGAACACGCGAGGATGGACCGTTCAGGAGTTCCTCGCTCCTAAAATTGTTCTCTTCTACCAAGCAGATTGGACCCTATATCTCGACCACTGCTCACGCAACCACAAGCAATCTGCTGCTATCACGCAGGAGTTGGAGCGTTCAACTGGCATAAATGCACGGGCGCTCGTCGCCTTCCGCCCGTGGATGAGAAATGCCCGAGAGAAACTTCAATGGGCATCAAACGCGTGTTACTACGTTACAGGAAGACATCGCGTATTCACTGTTTGGGATCTTTGGGATTTACCTTCCTGTAATCTACGGAGAAAAAAGACAGAACGCGCTCGGACGTCTCTTACAGGAGATCATAGCTCATTCGGGCGACCATCACGGCCCTGGACTGGGTGGGACAATAGTCCAACTTCAACAGTTGTCTCCCAGCCGAGATTTCCTCATACAAGGCTCTGCCATGCACGCTACCATCTCTATCTGAACAAGACATGCAGATATCGGTCTTCACGCTGCGAAACAATATTGTGGCTGTGGAGTCGGCTTCGAAACTGTATACCACTCTTGAGAACCTTGGCGTTCCTCGTTTTGCAAACGCCAGACTGCAACTGCCCTGCATCGCATTTCCTCTCACGAAAGTCAGGCGGAAGTACTGGTGGAGACGGGGACAAATTTTTCACATATGAAGTCATGGCAGACGGACTACAAGACCTACTAGTCACAACGGAAGACAAACCTGTTCAATTCTCGCCTGCAAAGCGTACTCGGCAGACATTCCTGCTCATCCGCCCGTGGAATCGGTATGATCTCGACTTTACAGACGAGTCGCAGAACGTGGACAATTGGCCTGATGAACCTGGAGATGATGAGCTGGTCACCAGAGGGTTGAGGTTGCTCGTTCGCCTTGCTCGTCCTTTTGGCGCACTTTTGCTAGCGCAGCAGCGTGGTGGGGAGTATAAGAGAATCGCTTCGGATAATGAGATCATCGCGCAAGTTAGGGACATGGCTTCTGTTGTTGATACGATGGACGTCAGGACACCGGAGATATTGTAGCTGCGAAGAACGGGACAATCTTCATCCCCCGTCATCGTCAGGAAATGTGATGTTCCCCAGTGAGACGTGTTTCGACCGGCTTCGGAGATCTGAGTCGCCTTGTCGGGTGGACAGTTCGGTAAACATGCTTGATATCTACATCACTCGATTCCCTGGTTTACGCATTGTTGTATTCAGTGGATGATCTCCCCGAAACAAAAAGGGTAAGATTGCAAGGGAGAAGCGAAGGACTTTTTCTGGTTTTTGAAGGTGGTATCGAAAAAGTGCTTCTGGAATCTGGTACCATAGTAGTATGTACCCTCCCTCTTTTTTTGGTCTGTTCAACTTCTTGCCAAGCAGAGCCGAATGACACGAGCGATACATATACTTCAGACAAAGACCAACAACTAGTGAGCCCTTTCGAATACAAGATTACTTGACTGTATAATTCCAAATCATAAGTACGAGGCAGAGTGTGCTCTGGTAAACAGCCATTGCGATTTGCGCAGCAAATGTAACGGTATTTTCCCTGCTTCCACACACAGCAGGTCTTTGGCGCATAGGTTATAGGCGCATCTCGCTCGGAAGTAGCACGACGTGAACGAGGCGAGGCTGCGAAAGGCTCTCACATACATGTACGCGAAGCAGATCACGAACATGATCCTTGCGATCGGGGACACATAAATGGGATGTGGGCACGCGATCTCAGTATATTGCTCTCGACAAAATTTTCGACAACCCACCGCAGATTCGGCGCCACGACAGGCAATTGTCAACAAACCAGTTAACAGGATATTGATTATACAAAGACACACGCTCCGAAGAGACCTCTAAAAACCCAAAGTACTTCCACAGGACACATGAGGACACAACAGACATCCCATCGTCTGCATTGTGCAAGCTCGCGATCTGAAATCACGAGCGACACAGGTGGAGGGCGAGATACAGCTTGATTGATGATCGAAGAAGAACCAGAGGCCATACTAAGGACGAAGGGCACAGAGAAGAGGGCGAAATGAGGACGAAGCCAACAAAGAGGAGAATAACGCAACAAGAGAGCACAAGAAAACAGATAGCGAGCTTGAGTCATGGTACAGGAACACGATCGCCTAGTAGTGTTTTTAGTATCATTCTAATATATTGCAGCCTGCCTTCTGAACTATGGACCCTGGGTGTGTGCGCATGACAAAGTTGCATTTCGGTCAGCAAAATTATACATATCGAAGACTAACGAGAACGGATAGCAGATGCGGCCTTACCATTCAAAACATTTGGGAACAGGACGTAACATGGACCCCACGAATGTCAAAGTGTTGTTGTTGACGTTATTACTTAGTCTAATGGCATCCGGTCTACAATAGACGTAGTCAAAGACCAGTTCAATTCAGTCATACCTTGGCACGCGTCTGAGCGCTTCGAGGGCAACGGCATTTCCTGAAGCGCTAGCGCTCGCCGCTGGCGGGTAATAGGCACTGTCAAGTCTAACTGACATTACATCCAGCTTGCTTCACATTATGCGTGTTAGTAAAATGTGCACGAGTATTAGTTTCCATCGTGTGGTCGAGTTGCACACACCAGTTGCTTTCCACACAATCGATATTTGTATTTGTACTGTAAAGTATGAACAGAAGAATATTTCGAAAGGTAATGAAATACATGACATCTTCACTCGCCGAAAAATTCCTCGGGGGACGAAAGCTGAAACATCAATAAGAACTACAGGTATGGTACTGCGTTAGAGTCATGAAGAAAAATAGCTAAAATATACCCGGAATGAGTCTGTAAGGCACCCTCTTAGACCACCGGTCCCATTCTCCCCCAAAACGCTTGCGAAGCATTGCATCTTCACTGATAGACCGCGCGGAGCCTAGCACGACGCCCAGTATGACTTGAAGTACCCATACTCCAAATACAACACGCCCGAAGGAAGTGGAGAGCCACCCAGACGACCGCATGAACGATCCGGGGCTCGCACAGATGAGCGAGATCCCAAACGAGGCGATCCAGCTGGCTGCATAGCCAGGGTGGCGCACAATGTTGTACGGACCTGTGGTGACAAGGGAGTGGTCCTTGCGCAAGCTGAGCTCGTGGGTGAAATGGCGTCCCATGACGCGAAAACACCACAGGCGTCCCAGGCAACCCATGAAGACTAAGATGGTTCCGAGCATGAAGTATCTGTTTGGCATCATATCTGGAAGCTGCCCAGTGTGAACTAGAGTAGAGAGGACTGTAGAGGAGGTAGGCGACGGAAAATCAGCCGCAAGTATGACGGCTATCTCTGCAACACAGGGTATCAAACCCGACACCTGTGACAGGTGTTCGTTAATGTGTCTAAACGTTGGAAATTCACGTACCCGTTGTAATATTGGGAAAATGACTGGGCAGATACGCTCGTAGAGTGGGCCACCGCTGATGGCCTCATCGTCATGAGGTGCTGCGTTCGGAGAGATATACGCATTATTGAATATAAGAACAGATGGCACGAGAAAAGGAAGTTTCACGAGGGTCATTGTGATAATCGTCACTGACCGTGCAAAGGTTATGGGTCTGGTCAACTGCTCACATCCCTCTTATATGTGTCCTCACGTAGACGCGCACCTACATAGCCAAGTTACCAGATTATCGGCAGTAGGCCCGTAGGGTCCAAATTCAACTTAAAGCGAAATCACGAAGTGGATTCCCGAAATTGATCGAGAAGAAGCCCTGCATAACGCCGGAAGTTCCACCGAACCTAACGCTGCGCTGAGGTTTGAATTGAATCTTGTCGTCGGAAGGGCTAAAGAGTTGGATCAGTGGCAAACGCGCCGGGTAAGTTAAGTCACATTACGTTGTAGCCACTCGATCTAGGGTAGGTGCCAGCATCATGATCAGGCTCCCAGTGGGTTGCTGTTACGTTCGCGATTGGCGGTCTTTTGAAGTATTATATGACTGAAATGGTTAGGATGGTCAACGGGATCCGTGTAGATACTCGATGAATCTCGTTATTCCAGCCTTTTCAGTTATGTTTCAAACTTGAAAGCGAGTCATTATGCATATTATGATGCACCTGTCTCAGACAACCTGAGACACAGTCGGAAAGTACTAGTTCTGTGGGCAGATGTGATATACACATCCCAATACATGCATTGATTTCGAATATGTCCCCCGATTTGAGAAGCATCACATGTCGCTGACTCTTATTTGGCTGTGTTTCAGGTTGTGTAAGCTAGCAGGACGGAGATTACGTTATCGTTCAATGTAGATTATACCTTCTCGGATATCTACGTACGCACGTACGTCGTAGTGTCAGGGATGCATATAATACATAATGGTTTGACGGTCGACGTCGACAAAATATTAGTGTCACGAGGGCAAATAGATGTGTAGTACTAGTGAGCGCTCAAGATGAGGAATCCTAACAGCCTACCAAAAATGGATGGGGATAGTAAGATTGTGTCTACTGATTGTTTTCTTTCACTCGGTGACAGCATCCACGATGAGCTACTACAACCCTAATGTTGTCAGCATCAACTTCCGACTTCGCCGGTAATTCGTAATAAGTCCTAGCTGTGCAACTAGTAGTATGTACAGGCGACAAGTCGGGTCCGGACCAGTGGTATGTTTCACTGTGCGACATGATGGCAACTTTTTGAACTTTCTTAACAACGCAATCATAATGGTTTGCCCTCTTCTGACACAGCTGCATGTAGAGCAGAGAGATCTATCTGCCACATGGGCGCCAACGAACTATTTACCAGCAATGCACACATCCGCCACTTATCACTGTTCCCATCTAGGTCTCTTCCACCCTCCGTGAACGGCCGAAACAGCTCACGGTGATGCCAACAACCACTGCTACTGGCCCACAATGTACTGCTCATGACCCTAACGCACTGGCGCTCGCAAACCCGCCCGGCTAAATGCACATCATCGAGCTACGTACCCAGTAGTTCCCACAACATGTCCAGATTTTTAATTTTACAGACTGCGTCTTTCATGGCATTACTCTATTCATACGTGAATCATGTCCGCCACATCGTTCCATTTGCGAATGCCTTTCTGAATTCCGAATCTGATGTGACCAACTTGATCAAAAGAATGAGCGAATGTAGTTGATGTTCGGGTCGGTGGAGACACGCAGGGATACTATTGTTGAAGAACATAAGTAAAGGAAGAAAAAATATCGCACACAAACTTTTGATGTCCTGCAGCTGCACCTCAAAAGCGAATTGCCAAAGTAACATGCCTCGAAATACCCAATCCTCGCTGGTATATGTCGGTAAGCGTTGCGTCTTTGTCACTCTCAAATACATAAATAACATAAATAACGCTTCCCTGCAGGAGTACGTGTCCCCTTTCTACTTTCTTTCGGGGGATGACAGATTATTATTGAATCCGCAACGATCTGACTACCCCACCTGCCTTTTGTGCAGTGGTTCCCTGTCACCGTCAATAACAGCTCTCTCATCATAATGGAGTCACCGGAATGCAGACTTGCTTGCTTACTGAGTGCGCTCGGCGTGGAACATTCTGAAGTCGGTTGCGAATCCCAACATGTCCGTGTGCCGTCGGCACACCGCACAGTCCCAAAGACCAGTTTTCCACCTACCCTACGAGGTGCTACGATGCCCCGATGTGAGGACTTGCCCCCATCGGTCCGCCGTTCCTGCCGGCTGTTTTAGACGCGCAATCCAATCGAAGATGAGTTGATTGCTCTCTCCGTTGCGTGTTGTGATTCGTTCGATCGTGGATTTTTGTTCTGAAGCGCGTACTCGATTGTACATAAAGCTATGAAAGAAGTGCGTTAATGATGTAGATTGGTGCATCAGGGGACTTGCCTTGCGATATGTCAACTCGACATATACTCGCGCAGCAGTGGGGAAGCCTTCCCTGGTGTTGTGGATTGTCAGCGCTTCTTCTGGTTGGGCATTGACGATGACTATGGTGCGGAGTCTTTCATTCCGGGCTCCAGCACTATCCTGGCACAGTGCACACAGGCCTGGGTTACTGAAACTGTATACACGAGTTTGAGCGGTCGACATACGCATCACCCGAGGCTGAGTGATATACGTGTCATTTTGGGTACCTCTATCACGGCGGCACACGGGAGCCTTCAGTCTCGCATGCAATTAGTTACTTAGTACTGTACAGACATGAAGTTGTGGGCTTGGTTGAGGTGGACTATGGAGTAATGAATGTTGAATATTCGAATCGTGACAGGGGTGTTGCTATGTTTAATGGGGCTACTGCAGCTGTTTTCTAAAGGCTCATTTGCTTACAGGTTATGGTAGGTTATGGTAGGTTATGGTTGATCTGTTGAAGCTATGGTAAATATTGCCGATCAATGAATCATTTGAACGCTGACTCGGAGCATAAGTATGTTAAAACGTTCGTCAGTCTATTACGTAGTGAGGCACAAGCGAAGACTTTAGTGCGGCATCGGAAGCGGCACGTGCCGCACGAACCCGGCCTCTTCTCTTCGTACCGCAAGTACTACTAGTACTATCCTCTCAACAGTCGCCGTTGAAGCATCTCCCTTGCCCCACCCACCACTCCCTTTCGTGCGATATCACTCACTGACCAGCGGCCCTGCATCACGCAAATCCTCGCCAAACTTCTAGAGTGCGACACAAAGAGTGGTATACATCATGATTCAAGCTGCCTTCCCACATCTTCCTGCTCTCAGTCTCTCACTATCAGTAGGCTAGCTATACTGTGTTATCGCTTTTCTGAATCCTGAATCTTCTGAAGACACGATTAATGGGGTTAGAAATGCTCAGCCACATGTACAACATCTTGATATATTGATTCTGCGTGGTCGTGTGACGTTGCACTGACAACTCTATTAGATACCAAAGGCGATATTCTTCGTGGCGCATTTTGGCAATATAGTCAGGCTCAGGAGAAGAACGGGGCCTTGACTGGTCACTCGTGCAAATGAACAAATAGTCCGCCTGTAATCAGAGTTTGGTCTTCAAATCGGGCGAGTGTACCACATCGGATTGCAGTGTTTACCTTTTATTGGCTGACACGCCGTTGATGTGTTTGACGACCATCTAATACATTGTGGCCTTGCTTTTTCACGATGGCGAGTTACATGCAACTGGTGAGTCATTTTCTCACTCAGATGCAGGACCCAACGTTGCATTTCTGGAGCACGGGTGCGGGTAACACCGCTCAGTTTCTAATGTTGGCCGCTGGTGCGGCTGACTATACCTGCTTTCGATTACTGCGAAGGAAGGTCTCTATAAATGAGAGTTCCTATATGTTTCCAGATCCCCAATAAGCCCCCCACCATTCCTCCGGATTATCATTCATTTTCGCTCTCAGACGCACGTTCGGTTGACTATGGCATCATAAACTCAGATGGCCCATGCACTTCCACCATTCGCAAGTGGTGTGGGAACAGAACCATCTTCTGTTGCCTTTGTTATGATATTTCTATTGAAAGGAATGTACCACTTTTCAGTGGGCGTCCCACGGCGGAGGCATCCGCGAAGTGCATGAAGATAAACAGTTCCCCGTCCCAAAGCCCAGGTGCCACGTTGCATTTCTGGTAGCACTGGGTGCATAAATTTCTCCCTCGCATACTGGTTTGCTGCCACTTTCTCCCATTGTGCCGCCATGATGGATTTCAAAGATGAAGTCGATGTGGACGCTGTCGCCCGTGCTGGGCTGGAGAAGCTGGGCTACAAGCAAGAGATGACACGGGTTTGTCCTTGTTCTTTTTCCTGTTCGCTCAGTGTGTGATGTTCGTGGTCATCGCTAGTCTCGAGGACCAGCACAAATATTGTTCAGTGAGTAGAGCGTTCCCCTCACCGCGTCACAGAAATTGAATGCTTCCCAACCAGTGACGCTAGGTCAGTCCGTCGGCTTGAATGAAGCTATCCACTGAGCTGTTGACCCGATGATTTGATTAGCAATCATGGCAGTCCGTATGTCTGAGCAGCGATTTTGCTCGATACTGCGACTTACCTTCTGGTAGCATTTGGTCTTACATCACCTATAGCGACGTCACTCGTAGGAGGTGGTCCAGTGGTAATGATATGGGGGTAAATTTACCTTTGCCACCTTATCTAGAACGCGATTTGACATGCTGTAGTTGGATCTTAGTGTCAGTCCTGACCCAAACGCTCGCTTTCTCACTGGCGGAGATATGCTCCAAATATCCCACATCAGCAGGGGCATACTACTGGTGTTATCGACTTGCGTCCCCCCGCACGCGACTTCTTGCTTCCTGGATCAATGGCTGGTTGACGGTCGTTGGTGGTTGGATGGTTGATTTGAGTGTCAAATTTGGTATTCCTTCCTATGCATGTCACCTCTGATCATCGACGACGCATTTTCCCAGCAACTGCTCAACTTGTTGTTGCCGGAGCCGGAATATATTACCCTGAATGGAACGCGACGGCATCGCAAACATGCAAGGATCCTTCCGTGTAGCAATGTGTGTTTGCTGACCACTTACTGTCTCAATGTAGACATGATTTTCCTCGGCGTGACTGCTGTTGCTGGCATATTCTGCATATTCTTTAACAGGCTCCTGCCAACCGTCGACGTAAGTCCTCACCTGTTTTTGTCTCCGAGATACTCATAGGTGGCCAGATCATATGTGCTTGCTGGACTGGTCTAGGCATCATCGGTATGTCTTGCTGCAACTGCTCTTCGTCTGTGATCTCCTGAATTTGCTTGTTTGAAGTTATCTCGATATGCTTGTTAGCCAAGGCCGCAGCAGGACGTCGTTCCGTCTCTTTCGCGCTCGGGAACTTCGACCCAACATTTTCAGGATGGACGCCTGGGTGGTCGTTCTTCATCGGTCTATTGCCGGTATGATCACTATTACTTATCGAAACTCGTACTCAATACTACCACGATGTATCAAAACAGCCTGGTGAGATATTAACATATATTTATCACAGTGGGATTGGGCGCTGAACTATGCCCTAGCATATACATTCTCCGCTATAGGAATGAGTATGTCTCCAACAGTGGTCTTGGCCATATTCACTCAGCTAACATTCAAAAACCAGTCGTAAACATGGCCGAGGAGGTTCATAACCCTTCTGAAGTACTTCCGAAGGCCATCATCTCATCTGTACCCATTGGCACATTAACTGGTGTGGTATACCTCCTGCCAATCCTTCTCACACTTCCAGACGTCACGACAATGCTTCAAGGTCGGTTTCACCCTGAGATACCTCGTGCTTCTCATATATATAAGTCAACCAGTTTCTTCCAGTCAACCAATTGGTGTTATGTTTACTTTGATCATGGGCTCTAGAGCTGGTGGTTTGGGGCTGGTAAGTTTGCTGTGACTTTCGTCCGGCGCCGCATCTCTGATTTGGCGGGGTATTCAGTTGTTCATTAGTACGTCACAATTGGTCTCCGCCAAATAGCCTAACTTTCTCATACCACCTTTCAAAGTGTTCGGTATCAGTATGTTTTGTTCAATCTCCACATCTTGCGCCGGTTCTCGTGCAACATGGGCGTTCGCACGTGACAAGGCTATTCCATTTCATCGATGCCTTTCCAAGATCGGCCCTTACCTCGAAGATGTCCCGGTGAACGCGTATGCACTCTCCACTGTAATCCAAGTCCTCCTTGGACTCGTCTACCTCGGCTCCTCAGCTGCATTCAACGCTTTTGCAGGAGTCGCCGTTATGTGTCTTGGAGCGTCCTACGCCATGCCCGTTGCCATCTCGCTCATGAATGCCCGACGAGACATGCATGATGCCCCATTCAACCTTGATAGATTTGGTACTGTCATCAATGTAATCGCAGTGCTGTGGATCATGTTCGTCACCGTGCTATTCTCGATGCCTGCTGTCATCCCGGTGACGACATGGTCGATGAGTGAGTGGCTTTTTCTCACGTGAGTTGGCTGAGGCACTGAATGTGTACGGGTAGATTACGCTTCGGCAATGTTTGTGGGGTTCGGGATGATCGGTGCAGCGTGGTATATGATCAGTGGGTTGTTTGCTTGCCATTCGGGAACTTCATGTGATTGATATGGTTCAGATGGCCAGTTTTACTATAGAGGACCTCCAATCTTGGAAGAGCCAACGAGCTCATCCGGATCCTCGGAATCTGTTCCGTATTGAAAGAATTCTGGGCGACAGTCATGGTGGATACTATCATCAAGTGATGGCGGTTGAGATCAAGGTGTCAGCGCATGGTAGCTCTTGCCTTTCGGTCTCTCATGCATGTGATTGTGATAATTGTAGTCAAGCCGTTGTGTAGAATCTGTAGACGTGATGTTGTGGGCTTCGTAAGACTAGACTTTACGTGTTTAATTTAAGCCAAGATCGTATATCACTTGCTCAGATGTCAGTGTCATCTCTCCCATACGAGTGGCGTGTCTAAAACGGCCGGCGGGAACGGCGGACTGATGGGAGTACGCTCCACATCAGGGCATTCGCGCACTCGGAGATGCAAAACGGGACACTCCTTAGACTAGAAAGTAGTGTCCTACATAAAGTACAGCTCTGCAAAGGACAGAAATCGGAATCAAAAAAAAATAAAAAAATAAAAAAAAATAAAATATACTAGACGTCACAGGGTGCCATTTTTTTATTTCAAATTGGAGTTTGAGAGTATGACAGGGGTAATTTTCCCTTTTGATATGGCATATTTTTAGTGAATATCCCGGACTCCCGACGTTAGTGGAGGAGAGGAGGGCTCTAGGAGGGCTCTTGTCGTTTTGCGAGCGTTGCTCACCACCATCCTCATCATTTTCCCAAAACCTCTGCCAGCTACACCCGCGTTCGGGCCATAATTTTGGTTGCAGTCACTTGACAATGGGCCTCATTTGCAACTTGAAGGAGTCAGAGGTTGGTCTTCATGTTGAACATCGTCTGTCATTCAGTTCTCGCTGAGCCCCCTTTTCTGTCATGCATGCCTTGGTGGGCCACTCTTGCACGGTATCTTGAGCTTTCTGTTATGGGGTGTTCTACTGAAGTTTCGCGTCGACCTCTGTTGATATCTCTGTCTGGACTCCGTTGCCCAGGTCTTGCAATTGAAAGTAATGTTCAATACCTCAGCATTAACATAAAACAGGAGCGCACGCAATCTATGTGACACATCCGAACGGTAGGCCATGGCATGGCCCATGGGCTGGTCTGACACTTTCAATTCTTCCAGCCTCGCCAACGCCTCATCGACTCTGGACGCTCCTTCGGTCGTTGGTTCTTACAATGTGACCAAGGATGACTCGATCTTGATATTGCGCGCATCCTTCTAGCCTCCGACCCCATTGACATTAATATCATCTTTCGTTTGGTGGTGAATCGGAAATCCCGACAGTTTTGGAAAGTCCGACTGTTGAGAATCTCTGTCACCTTTTTATATCTCGTGCGTGGCAGCGCTTGTGCCTTGGAATTTACGCCAGACGGTGAACCTGTTGTCTGTAAGCTCCTTTCCATGCTGTTTGTGCATTCGACTTATTCAACTGCAGTTGCTTGTGAAATGCCGAGTGAGGTCGACCTCCGTCCACCGGCCCGGGATTGCGATGATCGTGATTCGCGACTGTCTGATAGACTAGTGCATCATACATACGTGTTATTCTGAATTCAACTAACACCTGGTGCCACTTCGTTACCTGGACAGATTCAAATGCATTATGTTTGCAAGCTTTTGGCCAACTTTCAGCTCTCGACAGTGGGTGAAAAATCACGCGGTCCCTGACAATGTAAAATTAGCACGGACCTCAACCATATGTGAGGATCCTGTTCCGGAAAACGGAGTTGGGGACTGGGTAGTGGGCGTGTAGGCATCGTTACGATGCTAGCTATAGTATGTATACTAATTAGTACTCATAAGTAACCTCATGCCCCAGAAGTTGGCACTGCAAATTTCTCAAAATCATGACAGTGTAAAGTCGTGCTGTATGAGTCCATGGTATACTAGTTACTTACTAGTCTAGTAACTGAGTACTGTAACTGTTTTATAGAAACTGTTGAAAAGCCACAACTTGAACTTCGCTGCTTCTGCTCGCTCAGTACGGTGTCATTGTCTACTGGTAAGCACTAGTACTATCCCTAATACGGTTTACTCATCCATTTCATGAGTCACACTTTTCCGCAGGGATGTTCCACCTGGGTTTCCCAATAAGTAAGCCTTATTAGGCTGTACGATTACGTGTCTCACCCACACTTGTTTGGCTCAACAACCACATTTCCCCAACACCAGCAATAAATACTGTCCTAAATAATGTAGGTACTTAGGGCATTTGGCTGTACCGTCGCTTACAACACATACCTCCCCACCGGCAATGTCCGTGGCCCCTCCCGCCATTAGTAATTCCTCCCTGACGTCTATACGCATTCCCACGCACTCTCTGCCACAGCGCTATACAGCGAACGACGCCCAATGCCCATCCCTCCCACCAATACGTGGCCTGCCTTCACCAGCGCTGGCCACCCTTAACCGCCTATGCCCTATACAGCAAATGACACCCGGCGCCCATCCCTCCCACCAATAGGTGGCCTGCCTTTGCCAGCGCTGGCAACCCTTAACAGCCTATGGCCTATCCCTCCCACCAATACCTGGCGTGCCTTCACCAGCGCTGGCCGCCCTTAACAGCCTGCGCCACACACAGCAAATGACACCTGATGCCCATCCCTCCCACCAATACGTGGCCTGCCTTCAGCAGTGCTGGCTGCCCTTAATAGCCTGCGCCCTACACAGCAAATGACACCCGATGCCCATCCCTCCCACCCATACGTGGCGTGCCCTTGCCAGCGCTGACCACGCTTGACAGCCTGTGGCCTCCACTCTTCCCACCTCATCAAGAGATTGCCTACCGTTGAGGCGATCTCAACCTGGCTGGGCTGATATGAAATATCTAAAAATGCTCAACCAGTATAAGTGAGTCTTGGCTCTGCCTAGCTGCTATACTCGCAGAATGCAAGAACATTCGACCCTAAAGGGGACTGCTACTGAACACAGAACCAGATGAAAGAAAGACCCTTGTAGTGCAATGGATGCGCGAAAGCGCAAGAAGAAAAGCGAAGTGAGCGCGGAGCACGAGAGAGCGCACTAAGGTAAGCGCGAGCGTGGGAACGTGAGCGCTAAGGCGCGCGTTGTGCGGAGAATACCGGATAAGGAAACGGATAAGGAAGCGGATGTGCAAAGCGAGTGCAAATGCAGAGCGAGTGTTATAACGAGCGCGGATAAAGGTCTAGTATAGGCGGATAACGATAACCATTGGAAACACAAAGTGCGCCCAAGTGGTGACTACTACTTTAAAGTAAAACCCAATAGCGAGGGAAGTACAGCAAAGGGGAGTAAATAATGATGGAGTAGTAAGTCAGCAAACTTTATACTATGGAAATCGCATTGGAAGTGGAAGGGATAGGAGCAGTAAGCACTAAAATACGTAATGACATGTAATAGCGCTGCAATGCTTGTTACAAACCACGAGGCAAGGCATATGACGTACCAATGAGGTGGGTGGGCATAGAGGGATGTTCCTAGATGATAGGCAATGCAGGGCAATGCAGGGCACTTGCAGGGCGCTTAAGCGCGAGAAAGCGCGCAAGGTGCGCGTGTGGGAATGCTGCGTGTTGTGCAGGAAAGTACCGCGCCTATGGCGTGTTTCGCAGGAAAGCTGCGCGTTATGTGTAAAATGACTAGGGACATGATAGAAGTCGAATATAGCTGATGGTGCAAGTCGTGCATTGAAGGCCAATTGTCATGAGTTGTGAAAAGGTGCGAAATGTGCCCATATGTGCCTGCAGAAACGCGAGTCTCTACAGCGCTTCATGCCGACCTCAATCTTGGTTCTCCATTTGATAGGGTGAGCAGAGATCGTCTTTCCTGCCATTTTCTGCAGTACCTAATATTTGATCCAAGAACGGTTCTTCTTCCATTTGGAAAGCCTGTAAGATCATTGCATATGTAATCATTACCCTTGCCGTTTTGTGTGCGTTTTATATTTTTTATCTCCTTTTCATGTAGATCCTTCATTTATTTGGTCACTGTCAAATTGGATAATGTTTGCTCATTTTTTCTCTTGTACTGCCTCAAAGTGTCCGTAAAACGATGTCTGGTGTGATTTGTATTTAAATGATATACCCCGGAGGCACTGACTCCCACCTCCCCTTTTCCTAGTCTGACATGGTCTCCCGCAAATCCACACAACGCTCATCAGTGCGGATGCAGGGACTGGCTAGGATTCGTCCTAAGGTGCAGCTCACCAAGAGGCCCGAGCTGCCCTTACACTACGATGTTGCGAAGCCTCTCTTAATTTCAGGAAGGCTGTTGAGGATACCTGGCAGGCTGTAGATGATGCCGCCATTAAGATTGCCACGGACCACAAGAAAACTGTCTGCCGAGTGCAACATGAATTGCACATGGGACGCTCACTTCTGCAAGTGAAGCATTCGAAGATCAGCGCGTGGAATTCTTTTTTATGGAAGAAAAGGCAAGACAGTGATAAGGAGAATTGTAAGTTCGCCCCTTTCGATACAGCTTAATTTAATCGATTTTATTGCCAAGATGGACGTGGCAAGGACATACTTGGCGGCATCATGAAGGACTTCAAAGACAAGTACCACAGCCTCACCGATGAGGAGAAGGCAGATCTCATTGAAGAGTACAAGGAATTCAAGGTTACAAAGACCACTGGGCAACGCATTTCAACGAAGTTGAAGCTCAACGATGCTGCCAACACTCTGAAGGTTATTAAAGTGAGGTACGTTTATGTGATCTCGCAGCTCTAGCAGCCTGCCTAAGTCTTGATTTTTGGTTAGCTCCATAGCCTTCGCTCTCGTACTGGAGTGGAGACGATAATGTACATGTCCCGAGGAACCACCGACATTCCACTCCGTGGCACTTCATTTGCAACTGAAGGTGTGCGAGACTTCATGGGATCTGTGGTAGGCATTGATAACCAAGATCTGGTCAACAAGATGGAAGGTTTCACAATTCAAGGCATGAAAGGTACATATTTCCGTTTTTTTTTTGGACGCACTACTGACCTCTATCATTGTTGTACAGGAGCCGCACATAATCATCAGAAGCTTGTCTCTCATGTTCGCGCTCAGATCCGCTCTGAAATCAATCAAGCTCTCCGTGCGTAATTCATCTTTAAAATTAATCGTTTGTGTCATCAAAGGTCTCTAGGGGAGAAAACTGGAGTACCAGATGCCACCATGCACTGGGCACAATATTGGCGCAACGTGGTCAAGCGTTATTCTGTAATCATCGAGGGCTGGCCAAAGAATATCCCCTTCGTCAATCTTAGCACGGCCTCTAGTGCCCTTCCTGACCTGGAAATGCTTCTCAGGAAGTGGCGGTCTAAGGCCATCAAATGGAAGTGCCTTACTGAAGAAGAATTGGATACTATGGAGAAAGAGAGGGACGATGGTATTGGGAATGGTGCGATAAAGGAGACACACCGGCGTCTTCGCTCTGACAAGGGTAAGAAGAGACGCCGAAACGCTGATGACGAGACCTCTCAGCACCACAGGAAGAAGACCTACAAGAGTATGGAGACCATCGACAGTGATATCAGTGATATAGAGGAAGATCATCAAGTTGACTCCCCTGTACAGTCTGCCAATAACCTTCCTGCAGGATCGCCCTTTGAAGACTCCGAAAACATGCCTCGCACTAATCATGCTCTGACTCCCTCACCAATTTTGCACTGTACTTCGACTCCCCCACCCATTTCGGACCATACTTCAACTCCCCCACCCATTTCAGACCATACTTCAACTCCCCCACCCATTTCGGACCATGCTTCGACTCCCCCGCCCAGTTCGGGCAACACACCTGCCAACCAGGAGCCTGCCCCACCAATCTTTCCTGGTTCAAGTGCAAACTTAAGCTCACTGGTACCTCCTTTCAATAATCAGATTGACAACTTCATACCAACACCTTTTGCTCACACTGAATTCAACTTTGATGGTATTTTTTCTTCTTACTAAGTTCCAAGTCTTCGAGTTATTCCTTATGACTACAGCCTTGACATTTAGATTTGATGTTATGATTGTCTAGTACTCATTGTTATTTTTCAAGTACTAGTCTTCGAGTTATTCCTTATGACTACAGCCTTGACATTTAGATTTGACATTATGATTGTCTAGTACTCATTGTTATTTTCAAGTACTTATAATACAAAACATGTGATTTGTTCTTGCAGTAACTAGCGCTGATGTTCACGGTGCTAGTGGTAAGGGTGCTAGTAGTAAACATGCTCTCGACATTCTCTTGGTCGACCATAGATAGCTCTAAGTCACTATTAGCTCCAGTAGACAACACAGCCCTCAAAAAACAGGACATTCAGACCGCAATGCGGCGTGCTGGAACAGCGGTAAGCATAAAGAAAAGTCTCTGTGTTGCAACCGTGAGGGAAGGGACAGGCATCTTGCAAACATGAAGGAGGACCACCGTTGGATACGGTAGGCAATCTCTTGATCAGGCGGGAAGAGCAGAGGCCACAGGCTGCTAAGGGTGGCCAGTACTGGCAAAAGGCTGCTAAGGGGGCAAGTGCTGGCAAGGGCAGGCTATGTATTGGTGGGAGGGATGGGCGCTGGGTGTCGTTTGCTGTGTAGGGCGCACGCTGTTAAGGGTGGTCAGCGCTGGCAAGGGCAGGCTATGTATTGGTGGGAGGAATGGGTGCTGGGTGTTGTTTGTGTCAGGTGTTGTTTGCTGTGTAGGGTACAGGCTGTTAAGCGTGTTCAGCGCTGGCAAGGGCAGGCCACGTATTGGTGGGAGGGATGGGTGTCGGGTGTCGTTTGCTATGTATGGCGCAGGCTGTTAAGGGCGGCCAGCACTGGTGAAGGCACGCCAGGTATTGGTGGGAGGGATGGGCCGTAGGCTGTTAAGGGTGGTCAGTGCTGGCAAGGGCACGCCATGTATGGGTGGGAGGGATGGGCATCGGGTGTCATTTGCTGTGTAGGGCGCAGGCTATTAAGGGCAGCCAGCACTGCTGAAGGCAGGCCACGTATTGGTGGGAGGGATGGGCATCGGGTGTCATTTGCTGTGTGTGGCGCAGGCTGTTAAGGGCGGCCAGCGCTGGTGAAGGCACGCCAGGTATTGGTGGGAGGGATAGGCCATAGGCTGTTAAGGGTTGCCAGCGCTGGCAAAGACAGGCCACCTATTGGTGGGAGGGATGGGTGCCGGGTGTCGTTTGCTGTATAGGGCGTAGGCTGTTAAGGGTGGCCAGCGCTGGTGAAGGCAGGCCACGTATTGGTGGGAGGGATGGGCATTGGGCGTCGTTCGCTGTGTAGCGCTGTGGCGGAGAGTGCGTGGGAATGCGTATAGACGTCGGGGAGGAATTACTAACGGCGGGAGGGGCCACGGACATTGCCGGTGGGGAGGTATGTGTTGTAAGCGACGGTACAGCCAAATGCCCTAAGTACCTACATTATTTAGGACAGTATTTATTGCTGGTGTTGGGGAAATGTGGTTGTTGAGCCAAACAAGCGTGGGCGAGACACGTAATCGTACAGCCTAATAAGGCTTACTTATTGGGAAACCCAGGTGGGATGTTCGTGACTTACCGTTACATCGCGTGACAAATCATCACGTTTCCACAATGAAAGGTGTCACGAAATGTCATATGGGCACGCGCTGGAATAGACCGTAAGGTTAGTACCATAGTTGAGGTCACAAGATGCCGCGTGTTTTCATGTCGCTAATATATGTTTCTTATCAGCCGCTTATGTGTACAAGGCTAAGAGCTCCATGAGCATGATAGGCAATTCTTATTCCCAAGGTGTTCTGTTCGCATCAGATTCAGAAGCAAATATATCCTTCGCCCTTGCATATCGGCTGCCGCTATCTTTCATCGTACTACCACGATGAGCTTGAAAGGTTCAGACGATGTGGATGCTGTCGCCCGTGTCGGGCTGGAGAAGCTGGGCTACAAGCAGGAGATGACACGGGTTTGTGCTTGTTCTTGTTCCTTTTGATTCGCGTTTCATGCCTATTGGCCGTTGCTAGTCTAGGGGACTAGTACATATATTATTCAGTGAGTAGGATGCTCTTCTCACCGTGTTGTGGAAATTAAAATGCATTCCAAAAAGTGACACTAGGTCAGTCTGTCAGTTCAAACGAAGACACCCGCTGAGCTGTTGGTTCAACGATTCAATTAGCAATCATGGCAGTTCGTACGTTTAAGCAGCGATTTCGATCAACACTATGACTTACCCTCCCCGTAGCGTATGGTCTTGCAGCTCCTATCGCGACATCGCTCATTGGAGGTGGTCCAGCGGTAATGATATGGGGGTAAATTTACCCTTTCCAGCTCAAACACGATTTGACATGGTGCAGATGGATCCTGGTGTCAATCTTGACCCAAACCCTCGCTCTTTCACTGGCGGAGATATGCTCCAAATATCCCACATCAGCAGGGGCATATTACTGGTGTTATCGACTTGCATCTCCACACACACGAGTTCTCGCCTCTTGGATCAATGGCTGGTTGACAGTCGTTGGTGTTTGGACGATTGCTCTGAGTGTCACATTTGGTATTCCTTCCTGTGCACACCACTTCCGAGTATGACTAACGCAGTCCATCAGGAACCGCTCAACTTGTTGTGGCCGGTGCCGGAATATTCCACCCTGAATGGGTTGCAACGGCGTGGCAAACATGCAAGGCTTCATCTATAGTCTACAGATTGATGTGGTTTTCTGACCAGTCTGTGACTCATTCTAGATGTGATTTTCCTCGGCGTGACTGCTGTTGCCTTCTTGTTCTGCCTATTCTTCAACAAGCACCTGCCGACCATCGACGTAAGCTCTCGTTCATGGGTTTTCTCTGGGATTCATATGTTTCCAGATTATTTGTGCTTGCTGGACTGGCTTAGGCATCATCGGTACGTTTTGCATGTAACTTGTCCCTGTACGCTGAGTTGAGTCGTTTGAAGTAATCTTGATATGTTTGTCCATCAAGGCTGCGGCAGGGCGCCATTCTATCGCGTTTGCACTTGGACATTTTGATCCATCTTATTCAGGATGGACGCCTGGGTGGTCTTTCTTCATTGGTCTATTGCCGGTATGATCACAGTTAAACATTGAAGCCCTTACTCAATAGTAATAATGCACTCAACTAACAGCCTGGTGAGAGGCTATTATTTATCAAGTTGTAGAACTTGGAGCTGAACAACGTCCTAGCATATACATACGCCGCCATAGGAATGAGTATGTCAATGTCTTTGCATCACGTTCACTGACTTACATCATGAAACCAGTTACCAACATGGCCGAAGAGGTTCATAACCCTTCTGAAATACTCCCAAAGGCTATCACCTGGTCCATACCTATTGGCACATTATCCGGCGTGATATTCCTTCTGCCAATCCTTTTCACGCTCCCAGATATTGCCACATTGCTTCAAGGTTAGTTTCATACTGGAGCAACTCGTGCTTCTCATGTATATATGTCAATCAGTTTCTTCCGGTCAACCGATTGGTGTTATGTTTACTCTGGCCATGGGCTCCGAGGCTGGTGGTTTTGGGCTGGTGAGTTTACAGTAGCCTTTCGTCCGGTGCGGCATCTCTGATTTGGCGGGGTATCCAGTGGTTCATTAGTATGTCACAACTGGTCTCTACCGAGTAGCCCCACTCTTTTAACCCACTTTTCGAAGTATTTGGTATCGGTATGTTTTGTGCGATCTCCATATCTTGCGCCGCTTCTCGCGCAACATGGGCGTTCGCACGTGACAAAGCTATCCCATTCCATCAGACGTTCTCAAAGATCAGTCCGTACCTCGACGATGTCCCTGTCAATGCACTCCTGCTCTCCACCGTTATCCAGATTCTCCTTGGACTCATCTACCTTGGCTCAACAGCTGCGTTCAACGCCTTCGTGGGCGTCGCTGTCATGTGCCTCGGAGCATCCTATGCCATGCCCGTTGCCATGTCGCTTATGAACGCCCGGCGAGACATGCATGATGCCCCATTCAACCTTGGCAGGTTCGGTACCGTGATCAATGCAGTCGCAGTACTGTGGATCATGTTTGCTATGGTGCTATTCTCGATGCCTGCCGTCATCCCAGTCACGAAGGTTTCCATGAGTGAGTGTCACTCTCTTGCGTGTGTGGGCTGAGGCGCTAAACGGAGTCGGCTAGACTATGCTTCGGCAGTGTTTGTGGGATTTGCGGTGATAAGTGCTGTGTGGTATTTGATCAGTAAGTTGTTTGTTTGCACTTTGGGAACTTGCTTACTGTGTGGTTCAGACGGCCGGTTTCACTATACAGGGCCTCCCATCCCGGAAGAGTCCACGGACTCCACGGAGTCCAATCGGTCGACCTCCCCACTTCGAAGGTGATTTGAAAAGCCGAAGGTCTACCATGTCGTAGTCACCACGCTATTACAGTATCACTTCCAAACTATGTACAAAATATCTTGAATGCTCCAGCTTTGATTGCAATGAATCACATTCAGATTCTTTCCTGAGTAATGGTGACAAGTATTAGAGGGTATGAGATATCATGCAAAGAGTGTCAGCAGCAGGAAACATGGTATAACGATAGCAAACAAGTGTAGTAAAGTGATATGGTTTATGGGGGAGTTCATCCATGTAATCCCATTTCACTACGCGCGTAGTTTCGGGATCACTTTGACCATCTGGTCAATGTTGATGAACTGCACCCAAGCCTCTAAATCTTTCGCGTTATCATGCCAAATGAATTTGGACTCCTTCGTACCCCTGAAGAACGCGCATGCGCACTGATATGATTCCTCGAGCATGACCCCGCCCATGCGTTGTACGCCGAGTTGGGCTTTGAACACACGGAACTCCCATCCCTGTAGTGGGTGGTCATCACCGCGCGCGGACTCGGAGGGAATGTTGAATTCGAGGCGTGACCAGTCGAAAGCGGTGCTTTGGCCAACGGCTTTAATGTATGCCGCTTTGAGTGAGAGGAGGATGGAGAGGCGCCGGAGGACGACTTCGTCTCCGAGTTCAGGGTTGAGGAAGGTCATCTCTAGCGGGGTCAGCTGGTGGCCGGTCCCGCGTTAGTCTTATGATGTATTGCGCCTGTCTTTGAGCTTACTTTATGTGCAAAGGATTCAGCGTAGGCTGCTACTGAGACACCTTTGGGCTCTACGGAAATCTGTTTAATGCCCAAGCCGATGTTTATTACTTGGCGCTGCCGTCCCTGCGTCATCACCATTCCGCAGAGTGAGTTGTCATATGCAAGGTGGTATCCAATCATGGACTGTAGAAATTTTTCTGGGGGCATGTCATCCGGTGACTGTTGTAGGGGGAATACAATAATCATCGATGAATTATGCTACTCTGCAAGTTGACAACCACCACTCACCTGCTCAATCCAATGCTTTCCATTCGGGGTGACGCAGTCTTTCCATTTTGCGCGCGATATTCGTCGGTGGCGCATCATAAGCAGAGGTAACATGTGGCAAATAAGCTGTCCTGCTGAGCGTCAGAACGAACCAAGCAAGCAGTGGAGAGGTGCTCACGAAAGGAATCTATAGAAGTAGGCTGGTACGGCAGTCTGGCATGAGGGACGCAATCCTGCACAAGGTGGAAACATTTGTCGTATTCCTGCGGAGACAAAGTTAGACGCTTGATTATCGACAACAGTATTCGTCAAACCTCTGTCAATACATCACGATTCAGTGAGAGCATCCAGACGAGAAGTGGACAATCCATGGCCATTTGTTTCACAGGGTCTGAGGGAGAATTCAAACAGTCTATTACTACGGGCGGTGGCGCCGTGAACGAATGATTGCCTGCAGCCTGGGTTACAATTGGGCAGTAAAATTGCAGGATCTTGGTGCTAGCCACGAGACAAGTCTTCAAATTTATCCAGGAAGCAGGGTGGAGGCCACGGAGGGTACACAGCAATTGCGCACGCTCTGGCACAGTAGGTTCATTATAAGGTGATCACTAGCCTAACAAGCAAACCGTACAATTTGGGTCGCCACGTGCCGGGCCACCGGAATTTTGTTGTTTCTTTTCCATCTTTTTTTTTGAATGAAGTTTCGTTTCACGTGAACAACTCGAAGGCACTAGAAAAAAACTCATCTCGGCCATGCTAATCAGTACGTGTTTGACATCTATCATTAACAATCCTCAAGGACGTCGGATATGAAGAATAATACTTTTTGGCTTATCTCTTGAGTTTGCAGTCCACCGCGTGCTGCATTCTGGATTGTGCCGTCCCTATCCGTCAGATCTGATTCCAAGAAGGCTGTCCTGTGGAGGGACACGTCCTCCCATGATTTCCACTCACTATTTGAACCCTACCACTGCCGATTACAGGAAGTTACAGGGTATCACCAGCTCTAATAGCTAGTCCCTCGCCCAAACAGAACATAGACATAGAATCATGGGTCCTAATTCTCATGCAAAGCATGCAAATGGATTTTACTCCACTATCTGCTCAGCTAGAAAGTTCGGAAGCTGCATGCACGCATGCATGACGAAAACACCTAAAAGGGTAAGATGGCCCTGAGGTGACTCCAACTACATATTAGTACACTATCCCCAAGTTCCAAGTAACCACGTTGCGTTAGAAGCAAATACAGAGATTGCCCATTCCTTTGAACATCCCCACCGCCGCCCAATAGTCCACCTACTGTACTGCATCTGCCGATGACAGCGGCTTCAGCTCCTCGACCGTCGGACTGACTTGCTGAGCCACATCCGTGGCGAATGGAGTAGAGTCACCCACTTCTGAAGGCACCTCGCCAGACGCCCTGATCGGATATCTGATCGTGTCATGAAACACATGAAGCCCAGAAGCTTGATAGCAGGCTGCAATCGAAGTCAGGTGGGAAAACATTATGCTAGTCATTGGAACACACGTACGATGCGCTTAATATTTTCCTTCCTCGCGTCCTTGGCACTCGATTCAAGGTTTTCAAGCCACGCCAAGAATGGAACGAGAGGCAATGGGACGCTTGTGGTCTTATGCTCAACTATGGCGTGTGCAACAGGCCGCATAACTGCCCCCCACGCTATCGGCCTCGGTGTACGAGATTAACCACAATGGGAGGCTCTTCTTCCGCGAAAGCCACATCAAGAATAGCATTTGATACAGCGTGGGGAGGGATCCAGGTTAGAAGTTGGACCGTGTGTCAATGATGGGTACCTTCAGGAAAAACACATACACTTATCCACCGGGCTTCCGGAAGTCCACCTAGACTGACACTCGACTTGACGATGATCGGCAGTCATTCTGTTGACCAAGCTCGTGGGGGCCCTTCGGATGTTTGATCAATTTTTTGCCGGCAACTTGCTCACCTTGTTTAGCAGTGTTTGTCAGATTTGCACACCTAGAAGCAGCATACAACTTACCCTTTGATATTTGCTCGCGGCGCAGCCAGAGCCTTCTGCAACTATGCGCGTGTCGTACTGGACTTCTCCCAGGAAAGGTCCATTTGCTCTATCCCAGCCTTGAGCAGTTGACGTGGAAGTGGTGAACATGAAACCCGGCTTTGGATGGCGCGGAGAAGATAGTGCGAGGTCTATAAAAATTCCGCGTTCCCCTCACTTGAGGCTCTAATGACGACAATACCAGTACATACGCGCAGGTCAATGTCATGTTTAAATGGAATTCGACTGTTTTAGTCAAACTGGTAATGAAAGCAAACCTTCTGATACAATTGCTCATCGAGACCCAGGTCATCGTGAGAGGTATCAGTTTCTACATACACTGGTTTCTCCAAGTGCAGAAGGGTGATATCCAGACCGCGTCCTTCGAAACCAATTTTCTGTCGTTGGTCGTTCGACGCCACTTCCCTTGATGGACAATTGAAGGCATGTACCGCGGACACGTCACCACGCTGGAGCAGAGATGAAAGCAGGTATGAGCCAAAACCACCCGTGGACCCAGTCAAGATGACCATGTGATCGTCTCGCCTGCGTCCGTCGATCAGAATAATGGAGTCATCTCTGACAGAGCTACCAAATCCGACTGAATACTTCTTGATCATGTTCTCGATGTCAGTTTTGGCATCAACGGCGCTTGGACCGTTTCGTGACGATATTGCATTAATGATGCTGCTCGCGGGCCGGCTAATCGAAGGATTTGAAAATGACTTTCTGCTCGATCTGTACTGATGCCTAGATGTCACGATCCAAAGACGACCTGAGGAAATTAAGGATGCGGTTTCCGAGAGATGTCGCAGACAGACTAGACGCATGTGGTCAGTAGAGCATAAGCCTTAATTCGCCCTCGACCTACCTGTCAACGCCTTGAGTACAAAAGGATCAGCCACGTTGGCGGCATTCACAGCAATAGCGTGGACCATGAGCCAGCTCTCAACGTCATCCGTAGTCCAGTTCGTAAGCAAAGACACATTACTGCCTGCTGTGGTGCTGCCATCCACCTTTTCGTATCTGTCGCCTATGAATGTCATTTTTGCGCATTGGCAGATGTATGAAATGCGCATAGGGTACAGCTTGACAGTTCCCTTTCTAGCTCGCAGCATGGGCTTTACACTGCGTGTTACAAGAATCATGTCCTCGAAGATCCTGCTGGAGGTATGAGCCTCCTGATTCACTTCCTCTACATCTGGCCATCACTGGCATCGTCAGACTCGACGGTAGCAAATGTATACGGCACGAGCTTACCAAACTCCAATCCTGAACTCGGCAGGCCGCTTCTCGTCATCAACGTCTATTTCATGCCCCGCTCGGGGCTCTATGAGGATTCTGAGGTGGTTGCGTCCCCAACCGAACATGACGGTACCGTTGGCGTAGATATCGGCGGCAATGGTGCTCTCTATGAGAGCTCTTGTTGTCTTTTCACCGGATGAGAGTACTAACACGTCATCAATACTTCCTACGTTGCAAGGACAACATTAGAAAGCTGTATGAATATGGATGGTGCGAGTTTCGGTCTTACGCCCTCCGCATACCCTCGACTGTTGGATGCTTGACAAACACATCTAAAAAAGTATAACCTTGGACGTCCGAGAGATTCTCCGCTGATACATGATGCGTCGGAGCTGTCTGCGAGCAAGTGTTCAGCAACTGAGAGGGAACATAAAGGTCGAGACCTACCAAAACTTGGCATTCACATACACTGTCGTCCTGAGGAACTCACCTTTTCTTAGAGTTTGGTCCAAATCGCACCCAGTCCCACGATATTTGCTCAACTTCATTTCGGAAGAAGCAAGTGATGTCCCAAAATTCTGTAGCACCGTAAATAGAGATAGCTTGACTCCTGCATTCGCTAGGGCATCTTCTATCTTGGGTGCGAGCGGACCGCTAGCAAAGACCTGTTACTACAGACAACATGAGCCATTCCTTATCTGAAAACTCTAATAATGAACGTATAACATACAACACAATCGAGTCTTGTGGATATCAACAGCATTCTGCGACAACACCCATTACTCCAGGACGCTGCGCACAACTGCTAAAGTGTTCGATTTCGTCTTGATCACAGAGTCCAAGATATTTTGCGAGTTGGAAATTATAAGGGGTCGCCAATGGATCTTGGAGGAATGCGGGTGGGTAAATAGACACGCTGTCGATGGGGGCTACCGGCGTGAGTAGCTGAATATATAAACCAGGATATAAAACTATGGCAATGGTGCACAACCAACACGGATGGGAATGGGAAAGTCGATGTGTTCAAGGATGTGTGCTAGAACCATCTTAGCCATTTATGTTGCACAGATTGTTTCAGTGACTCACGGGATAAGGACCAGTGAATCACAGTCAAGTTAGAGATTGAAATGAGGCTTGGGAAGCCAGTGCTGCCTGAGGAACACAAGCAGAATATTATGTTGTTCTCAGACGACTGTGAAGCTGGGGGACGATATGGAAGAAAGGCTTCGTTTGGAGAACTCCTGACGAGCATGCCCCATAGGTCGTTTAGTGCCGACATCTTGTCAAGCTGCAGGTGGCTCGTTTGAGTGCCCGGAGACTCGAAATCCCTTCCGATTAGGAACCGAGAGTGTGGAGAGTCGTGATCAAACAAGGGCAGTTCGTTTTCTACATCATGTTTATTGCTAGGGTACATGGGGAATAGCTTAAAATAGCTGTGGTCAGAACGTTGTTTTAGAAATACATTCACATACAAGCAATCCAGTGAAGATGATACCCATGAATACTGCCAGGTAAAGGAGGGTGCCTGAGTTCCCGACCAGGGCGATGATCTCCTTGTCTGCTCCTCCACGACCCGGTTTAATTTCCTGGGCGGCACGATAACAAGCTTGATGGAATTCCCAAGTGTGAGATGGACACCAGATCATGGCTGTTAGATTTGTCCTAGATAAACAAAGTGACATCTAGATTATGTTGTGTATTGTCCAAACGATTCATGGAGAAATGAAGGTCCATCATAGGGAGAATGTGTGGCGTGAAGAAACCATGATGGATAATAGTTTACAGTCGCAAAGCTGGCTGTTGGGAAGACGGGGGGCCGGGTGTACGCGGTACTAGATTAATTTGAGTGTACAACGATTTTATAAGAGGACAAGTCAGTTACAGTCCGGAAGCGTAATGTCATACTTCTTGTAACATCACTGCAGTGGCCCAACACCTGCTAGACGACAGATTCCTTCAAAGTCTCGTCATAGCTTGTCAACCGAATTTATGAGTCGACGTTATTTAACTTCTGCTGCAGCCGCATCATAACGATGGCGTCAGATCAGAATCATGAAAAGACCCAAAGCAAGCACAGGCGAGCACCCACCATCGACCGTATTGTAACAGAGGTTGTAACTTGTCGCACAGCGAGTTGGTGTTGAGTATATAAACGAACGATTTTAATGAATATTGGCTAACATATATAATATATTAATATAAATGGTGCATATTAATTGATTATGTAATGTTCAAGTCGTTGTATCGGGCTGCCATCACTGTGTAACAGTGTGTTGACTATGCTCAGATAGAAGGAATGACTGTCTTCCTCCTATATGATCTGACTCTAGGATTCTTCGCAGATGAAGCAATCGTTAATTTTCCCCTAGGATTTATTTCTTCTCCGTTGTGACCCCAGACTCAAAAACCTCTTGGACTCGGACGCACTGACTCGGAACTCACCAACTACTAGAATCGGGAATCTGCCAGTTTTTCCCGTCAATCGAACACACCGCCGTGGATCGCTTGTTCGTGCTTCCTCTACGTGCACTGACTGCTGATTAGTGGTTTGTAGACATACCTCGACTTCCCCCTAAACGTCCCATATCTCATATAGGGAGAGATACAAAACCGACGGAATGGCCAGGCGCTCGCCACGATCTCTTTATTGTTCAGTGACTGCTTGTGAGCCCATGTTTGGTTGTTTACGACCTTCAAGGCCATAGCAAGATGGCCCGTACAAATTGTAAATCTAGTATTTGCGCTCCACCACGCACCACAGATGAGCTATTATAGTATGCCTTTTTAGCAGTGCTTCTGGGTATTTGATCTCATACCGCTCCAACCATCGCAGAACCATAAACTTAGCTTGTGGACCTCACAGAAATATGGTGTGATGTGAGTCGCCAAGAGCATGCAATCTAACTGATGTGGATGTGCGTCACCTATAAATGCATAACAGGTCCACGGATCTTTTCCCAAACTCGAATGAAATACTACAGCATGAACGATTTAAAATATTTGACCACACGAAAGAGATACTCGGTCATCAGCCTCCCTCGCTGATGAAGTTACTTAGGCCGACATGAAGAGATGCCACTTCCACGACACGGCCATTGGCCACTAGTCACAGGTTCGACCCAGGACCTATGTATGGCAAATATACATAGGCTTTGGCAAGTTAAAGAATGGAAGTTTCCAAGTCCGCGAGTGCTCACTACCATTATCGAGCTGAAACTTGAGGCAACTGAGTAGAGCGTGCAGCTGAACAAGGAACTCGCTGAACCAACCCTGGCCAGCACTTCCCAGACCACAGATTCTTTCGATTGAGATACTGTCGCCTCAAACTCGTCTTTGAGATTGATTTCTATACAGTCCCATGCTCGACATTCAAGGGTATCGAACTAGTATGTTCTTCCCCTACCTCCCAGGCCAGTACTCTATTTCTATGCACTGTAGTATTCACGACCGGTAATTCCTTAGCTCGACAGTCAGTCCGTACCGCCACCTACGCTTTCATCGAAAGGACGTGCATTATCTTCTGTGCAGAAGCACCACTTGTAACTTTGAAGCACAAGGGGAGCTGGCGGTTCTGGTTCAGCTTATTGAGCGATAGGACCGGCTCTGGCTTCAAGATAAATGTGCAGAACCTCTCCAACTTGACATTGGACCTTGGCCCCTACAAGTTTTGTTGGGTGCGTCAGTAAACTACGGGAATTTTACAGGCTTCAACGCCACACAAGGGGTCAATGTCGTCCCTTTCGGCGGCCTCTTCTCTGCATCGGAAGTAGTAGTTAGTGTCAACTCGATGGGATGGAAAGACAACCACATGAATATCGAGAGCATTGAGCTCAATGCGTGCGGTGAGCCCGTCAAAATGGGAGCGGGTGTCTCGTCGGTTAACCGCACCTCCTTTAACTATGTAGGGTGCCAGTCTTCTTCCGTATGAGCCATCCCATATTGCTTTCCAGTGCATTGGAAACTCACTGTCTACTGTAAGTACTTGAGGTATCACGCACGTCTCAGGTAGTACGGACGTAGGGCCAATACCTTCTGTTGGGCGTCGACCGAGTCTGGCCATCTGAGTACTTCAGAAGTGAACATAGCATTCAGGCTCGACCTGGAATCACCCTCTCAGCCAGTCTACATTGCGCTCATTCGCACTGCTCAGTGCACTCGGGCCTGGTGCCTGGTCCCGTTGGGTATCAACTTCTACGGAAATATTCACGAAAATTCATCTCAATTCTTCCAAGTTCAGCCTTTCCCTTTGTCTCCTTTGAGCTACTCTTACGACCTCGCGGTGGTTCCAAAGACAGAAAATACTATGGTAAATCTGATCTTCTCGAATTAATGTTACGCAAATCTCCGGAAGAGAACAGACCCCTTGCGAACTTCAAGCGAGACTACCCCGCTGCCACCTAGTATGTCGTACATATAATCAGGTGTGTTCCAATCTAGATCTTTGCTATCCCTTCCTTGCAACGTGGCCGCTAATAATGACGCTGACTTTGATGCGGCTCCGGTTAGTACTAACGACAGCGGAAATAACATTACGGCGTCTGCGTTCTATCAGGTTCTTACCTTGTGTTTTGCTTGTCTTCTCGTACTCACTGCCGTTGTCTCGTCTACAAGACTCCTGGAAAATATCCGCATTACCTACCCTGCGCAGCTCCTATTTATCATTCTGCCGGTATTGATATCGTTCTCTTGAACCCTGTATGTTTATGTTAATGCTCTGGAACGACCTAGCGGGGCTGGCCTACCCCGAAGGTCATCCCTGGCTTTACTATGCAGGTATCCGTCAGCAGGTCGTAAACCACTGGTGGGTGTTTGGTGGCGCGATTTTATATTTAAATCCTATATGATAGGCTAATCTTGTCGATCTATTAGGCAAGGACTTGGAGATAAGAACGTATACCTGGTGAACGCAACGAGATGAATCAATCACAGCCATGTGTATCCGTCGTGGATATTTCATTTCATTTCTCAGAGTGGAATAATATGAAGTAATTTGTGAACATTCAACAATTACACCCTACTGTTGAGGGTCACCAGAAAGTGGTGCTTCGAGAGTTCGCTCGAAGAATGGGGAATGGTGACTGAGGGCCGCTGAGCAGTGAGCGCTAGAGCACTGTACTGAGATCCCAAATTGCCTAAATGGTACAACATACGATGCATGCAGGTCTAATGAATCTGGGAAACTGACGGCGATTTGACCATCTCTCTAGGAGTGATATCATCTATGATTTTGTTGGTAGTTACATCTTACAATTATATACGATAAGCCGGTTCTGCCAGAGTCCACGTCTGAGATTCACCGTGGGGGCAACCTGGGACAACACAACTATGGTTCCCGGCTGTTTGTTCTAGATTCGCACACCGGGTGTACAGCAGTGAATTCCCGAGCACCAGTAGACTTGCGTATATAGCATACCTTCGCTCACGGTTCATAGCCAGTTCACATCCGTTGGCATGGCATGTCCAATAGGCGTACATCCTTTCAGCCCTCAGTGCCATTGACAGAAAATTTCTCGCACATCGTATGAGAATTCTATTGATGATAACATATCCAATCTCATGTTCCTGTGTCCGTGAGCTTGGAACTTCCCGCTGCTCAGCCCAGCCGCGCCCCTTCTTTCCTGCCATAAATTCTTCAAGAACTGAGTCTTTGGCGGTGTCAGAATTGATCATTCACCACCATGTATAGCAGGGAACCTAGGTCGCCAATCAGCCATTATTCAGAAGAGTCCCGCCCTGGGTCGTCGGCGCCGACTATCGACGTCTCGCTGGGAACTCCACCTTTTGACTACGCCAGCTTGAATGCGCCACTATGGCCACACCGTCTCTCCGCATCATTCTCAGCGATGGCTGACCAGATAGCAGCTGCGTCACAAGCACTCGCACTTGTTCCTTCCACGGCATTCAGCGGCAATGACATGTCAGCTGAGTTTGCGGTTCTCAAGTCGAAACTCGCATCGATTGAGAGCACACAAGATCGCCTCGCAGCTGAGTTTGCTGCTTTGCAACAGCAGTTTACGGAGCTGAACACGGATAAGGGACCTGCGTTCGAAGAGTTGGATAAGAAGATCGAGGCACTCAAGAAGATTGTGGAAATTGAGTACGTTAGTATCTTAGATGAACTATATGGAGGCTGACGTACTTTTTCTGTCTATCACAGCCAACAGCGACTTCCTGCGCGTTTGAACAACGCTCGGTCAACAGCTTTGAAGACGCTACTCAAGGCGCCCGTTGGAGCCGATGGCAAGCCACCGCCGAACTTCCCTGCCACTAGGGGAGAATTCGAGCATATCACAAGTCAGTGCAGTTTTTTTCTTGGGTTTTGAAATGGTCCGCTGATCGCATGGTGTCATTTAGAGGAGCGCTACGAGGCTATTCTCAAGGCTTATGGTCTGCCCATCAAAGGAGACACTGATGCCAAGCGAGAAGCTGTTCGTGCATTTGTCGGCATCCCTCAAGATGGGCTCTAAGCATGCAGGAGGAAGGATGAGGACCATATGGCCCATAGCTCTGGTCCATCAAATAAGGAAATGTTGGAAGAACTCGGCTTGCCGGACGAGCTTTGGTCATTTTGGAGGTTATTGGAGATTGACCGACCCAAGAATCTACGCAACAACAGGATCAGATCGCGTAGTTATAAGTAAAGCTATATCAGAGCATACATCAGTAGACTAAAATCAATAGACTAAATTACTTGTGGAACTTATCTTTCCTTGTTGTTCGTCCGAGTAAGCGGCGGCAGTGCAATATAAGAGCACAAGTCGCTTAAGTTAGGGTTATATACGTCCGAGTCTGTCCGACCGCCCTCTTTGCCTCTCACTCCCCGCAACATGTCTCACGAGTCCATCCAAACCCTACTCAATGCCAATGAGGAGTGGGCGCAAAGCGTAATCAAGAACACACCGAATTTTTTTTCTCAGTCGGCCACCGGCCAGAGCCCCAAGGTATTCCCATCGTACGCCCTTGAACTCCATTTACGAGTATGATTTCAGGTCCTTTGGATTGGCTGCTCCGACTCGCGGGTGCCGGAATCAGTCATCACATCCTCCAAGCCTGGTGATATCTTTGTGCACAGAAACATCGCCAAGTACGTATGAACAACAATTCATTGAACTCTGGGGCTATGGAGCTCACGACTATTTTTGCAGCCAATTCCACCTCAACGATGATAGCGCACTCTCCGTCCTTATCTATGCTGTCAAAGTAGTCGGCGTCGAACACGGCGAGTTTCTTACTGTTCTCATGATAAGGTTTCGATTCTTCCTCTAACGGGTATACATCGTCAACAGTCGTCCTCGTCGGTCATACCTACTGCGGAGGTGCTGCTGCTTGTCTGCAAGCAGCCAAAGATGCAGCCGCCGACACCGGCGCGTCCCAACCCGATACACCCCACTCACACGCTGGCTAAGCCCCCTCATCGCGCGCGTTCAATCCCTCGACCTCTCCGCGTGCTCTGAAAATGAAGCGTTGAACAAGGTCGTTGAAACCAATATCATTATGCAGGTCGACAATATCTGCAAGTCGGAACCGATTACTACTGCGTGGGCGGACCCGAATGTCAAGAAAGTCACTGTGCACGGATGGATGTACGACCTCTCCCGTGGACGCATCGACTGAGCTCGTCTGTCGGGAAGCTCAAGCGTAACGAGAACTGTTGATGACTTTTCCTATTTTTATTCCAGCACTGGCAATACAAGCTCCAGGCCTTTGCGATAAATATTTTTTGACACGTTCTTTAATAGATTTCCTTTAGACTGGCTGTACACGTCAAGGGTGTGGCAGATATTATTTCTAGATTATACGTGCAGCTAAAGAATTATTTCAAAGTTCAAAGTCAAACATTACCTCTTTCGTTTACCGATAATGCACGTATTTGTCCATCACATTCTGAATCGCTGCTCATGAAGAAATGAACGCGACCTACTGCAATTGTACTACGATGCCCACAGTCAATGACAGTGTGGCAACAGACTTTCCGCGACAACCTTTTTTTCCAGACTCCGAGGTAATGATGGGAGCGCTCAGTTTGAATAATGAACTGAAACTTCTTTGACAGCTCGGCGTCCGAGTTGAGACCGGTTATCGTCCCACCTCGAAAGCAGGAGGCACTACTATTTGCTCCTTCGGATCTTGGTTAGCAGAAGTCAATTGATAGAAACCCAGATGGCATACATTCGGGATCCAACAGCAAAAAAACTTGGATGTTGTGGTTCATTCCACATCTTACATCTACACAGGTATACTGCGGCGGTTACATTTACGGCTAGCTCGTACTGGAAATGATGTGTAGGAAATAACCCACATCCTTAATTTGTCCGCAGTGTTCGTGATTTCAGGGGAAACTGCTTTAAATAACCATATACTTGAGCGTAACACCATGTAAGCGGGCGCCGCCACCAGAGTCTGTTCCTGTTCAGAACCACAGGTTTCAATTTGCCATGTATTCCATCAGGTGGTTGCATCAACCTGTGTAAGCCTTCTAGCTATCATGACGGGGCCTCCTAAGGCACTGACCATCTATTCCAGGATAGCTGCATGAAACGTCGAAGGAACGACTCCGAATGAATCAGTCATCTAGTCATGATGGGGCTTGATTCAATGGGCGCTGAGCGCTGACTGCCTGTTCGTTGGATTGGCTGCTAACTTGCGAGTGTCGGCCTCTCTGTCATTACCGAATGCATGCCTGACACTATCTTTGCACACAAGAACACTGCCAAGTATGTATTAACCATTCATTCAACTCTAAGATACACCACTCTATCTCTATAGCCAATTCCACAAGCTCGACGATAACGGGCACTCTGTTCTGACCTATGCTGTCAAAGCAGTCGGTGTCGAACACGGTTAGTCTCTTATAATTTTTATGATAATGTTTCGACCGCCCCTCTAGCGGGCATACGCTTCCGATCGGTTGTTCTAGTCGGACAGTGTCTGCCGAGGTGCCAAAGCAGCTGTGTCTGCTGCCGTGGCCCCACGTCTCACTCACGCGCTGGTTGACCCCCCTCACTTAGCTCGTTCGAACCCTCAACCTTTTTGGATTATCCAAGAGTGATGCGGTGGACAGGGTCGTCGAAGCCTATTGTCACGCGGGTTGACAACATTTACAAGTCGGAGACAATAAAGCCGGGGACAATTTCACCTTACTTGGCCTGTGTTTAACCAATTTATCCAACTTCTCCAGTGTGCAGATATCGCATGTATAAAATGCTACGTACAATCCGAAGTCTAAACATGAACCTAGTCCAAGACTTATCTTTGACATAGCGTGTAGGGCGTGCGCCAAACGAACGAAAAAGAAAAGTATGCTATGCATTGAACAAAAATCAGACAAATGAGATCCTGTGATATTAGCGGACTACTTGGAAAAGGTGGGTGCAATGTGAACAAGTTAGCTCCAGATCGAAATCAAGGCGAGAACATCGCGTCATATCACGTATGTGCAAGGGCTGAAGCTAGTCCATAGGATGCATCCGAACAGAGCTATGTATAAGCCCGAAATGAACGCGGGTAAGTGCAGTTATCAGCAGACAACGCAGCACTTCCAGCTGCCACCAGTTGAGTCTCCGTTAGACGCTTCACCACTACGCCCACTGTTCTTCCTTCGGTGATGAGCGGAAGAAGGCACACCCTCCCTCATGAGCATGCTTGCTCGAGTGGCAGCCTCGAAAACATCATCCACACCCTCAATCTTGAGGGCAGAGCACTCCTTGTAAGCGCGTGCACCAATCATAGATGCTACGCGTTCAGCTTCAGCACGCGAGACGAAGTTGCCAATATCAGGAGAATTCGGAGATGGACGCAGGTCGGCTTTACACCCAACGAGCAGAATTGGGATGGTTGGGCCACATATGCTCCGAACTTCTTCGATCCACTAGGCAGGACGGATCAGGGATCGACACGCGTGCCAAGAAAACGTGTCGATATAAACCTACTTTTACAGATACGTTATCCAGAGAATCTGGGGTGTCGATAGCAAAAGCAATTAAAATAACATGTGACTTGGAGTAGGACAGTGGTCGTAAACGCTGACGCAGAGGTGATGAGCAAGCGGAAAGACCCGGTGATGAAATGTCAATATCTTACTTCATACTCTTCTTGCCCTCTGTGTGACGCAATTAGTTAGATACAAGAGAAGTTTGGTGTAAGAAGAGAAGACACAAACGCAGTATCCCAAAGTGCCAATTGCACAGGTTTACCATCTAGCCTGATTTCCGCGACGTAGTTCTCAAATATAGCTGAGAGCATCAAGGGGTAAGCAAATGCCGGACAACGTGCCTCTCCAAAGAGAGCTTACTCGGTTGCTTGAAATTGTGATCAGTTATGCTCAGTAGGCACATGCCACAACGGTGTCTAGGGACTCACATATTCCTTTGGAAATTCTCCCAGCGCAAAAGAACATAGTAGGGAGGTCTTCCCACAAGCACCTGTGATTGGCAGCCTGAGTTCAGCCGGACATGTCCAGAAACAAAGGGCTGCGGTTACGTGCCGTCACCGACAATGACAAGTTTTCTGCGAATCTACTGGGGGAAACAAGGCGCCGGAATGTAAGACTTGCGAACCAGTACTCGAGCAGAGGAATAAAATATACATACCGGGTTTTGGGACGACATAAATGTTGCTGTGCTGTGAACGGTCAGATTATTCGGACTAATGGAAGACGGAGGCAAGACTGCGCGCTAGCCGCGATGAAAAATCAACAATTACAAGGAGCGTTAGAGAACAAAAAGGTGTATAATGAGTATTGTGATGAGAATGAAGCCCAGGTAAAGAAGAGAGGTGAGAAGCAGAAGAACACGGTGACTGCGTTTGACCGCTGGCTTCTTGCGCGCGGGTTGGGACCACTTATATAAGCCATCACAGCACCGCATCCTCTAGTCTGACCATACAAGACCCAATTGCAGAGGAACCGCAGCCAAACACTACTCACACTATACATAGCACCCACTCTGCTCAGCAAAATCCGTAGAAGCGAATATGGACTGCACAATCTATCATGCTACAAAATCCGACTAAAACATACAATATGTACAATATGTGGAATTGTCAAAGAGTCAGGTGAATCGAGAAATCAAAACACAAGTAGTTGGTCGACCAAAATACATGAAATCACTGGACACCATATGCTGCCTATTATAGCTGTCGTCAACGGAAGGCCGAAAAGCATAAAGGTTGAAGCTCACCTTAATCTCCTTCTCAAATTTCTTCGCAACCTTTGAGCGTTGTACCTTCTGTGCTGCGGTAACAAGGCCGCTTTCGGGCGTCCACTCCTCTGACGTCAGAATGACAGCTTCTAGAATCTCCATCGCTTTGAAGCCATTCTTTTTCCCGAGAGCATTGCACTCCTTGAGGATGAGATCTTGCACCACTTTGTTGGTGCATAAATCCGATAACTGAGTGCTCGCATCTGCGAGGTTGGACTTGGCTTCGAGAGCATGGCGCAGATTGGCCTCATGAGGGATGATGATACCAATGGGTTGTTTGGCTTCAGCATTTGCGTATACACAGATGTTCGCCACAAGGGAGCATGACTTGTACGTCGATTCAAGTTGTTCAAGGGCTATGTACTGAAAACGGTAGATCAGGAGATCTGTGGCAAAAAAAAGACAATTTAACACACCTCGCCGCCCTGCAACTTGATGAGATTCTTAATCCTGAAATGAATGTATATCAGACGAAATAGATTGTCCGGGAGGTCAGATTACCTGTCAATCAGAGAAATAGTTCCATCAGCATTCCACTGACCGACATCACCAGTCCTAAGCCAACCATCCTTAGTGAAGATCGACTCATCGTTGTTGAGGTCATCCCGCTTGTAGTATCCTTTGGTGACTGACGGACCCCTAATACAAACTTCTCCCTGGGGAGGATTGTTGGTCGACTTGTAGCCCGCTTCAGGGACATCCAGGAGCTTTATTTCAGCTGAAGGAACAGGCAGTCCAACCGAGCGATATTGCATAAGCTCCGGGGGCAAGATGGCGCACATTCCACAAGACTCAGTCATACCGTAACCTGCCCTCATTTACGTCAATTATCGCAAATCGGCTTGGGAAATTACGGACCTTGGAGCATAGTGACGAGTGCAATGGACAAGAACTCCTGAGTTTCTTTGCTAAGAGCAGCGCCACCACTCAATGCGAGACGGAGCCGTCCTCCGGTGGCTTGCTTGATGTTATTAAACACAACAGCATCTGCCAGCTGGCTAAGAACGGGAACCTCAGCCTTCTTGGCCGCCATCGCCCCGTTGAAGATGGTCTTCTTCAGGGAGCCGCTGGCGTTAATCTTGGTGGTAATTCCCTTACGGATCAGCTCCCACACAGCAGGCACGCCAACCATGATGCTGGGGCGAAACGTAACAATGTCACCCTTGCATTGGCGTACAGATGCATCTGTAAGGGTCTTTACGCGGCCGTAGCCTGTCTTCATGCCGACGAAGAATAAAATAAGCTCCACGATGTATTCAAGAATATGGGCGAGCGGGAGATACGCCAGGAAAGTGTCATCGGCAGTAAGATGATGGCCAAGAAGCGTGTACACAGCACCGACAGAGGCGATGACGTTGCCGTGAGTGAGAACCACACCCTTAGGAGCCCCGGTAGTGCCGCTGGTATACATGATAAGGGCCACATCGTCTTTGGATGGTCTCCGCTCCTTCAAACCCTCCTTGGATTGCTCCGCACCAATCTCACGCAGTTCATCGATGGAGAGAATGACTACGTTTTCCCTGATGTTGCGGATATCATCGAGAAGTAATGGCTTGGCGTCACCGTCATAGACTATGAACCTGACCGATGGGGTATTAAGTAGCACATTCTTCAGGGTGGCGAGGAGGTCAGCATTGGTGAAAACACCAACGCAATTGGGCTCGTTCAATGAATGTGTGAGTCCAGATTCGCCGAGGGTATCGTAAGCAGTGGCCACAGGAATTCCAATTGTTGTGCACGCATGAG